CCCCCGACAACCATGGGAAGTTATCGGTATCGACTTGATGGGACTTCACGTGGGATTACCACGTTCCGGTAAGGGAAAATCATACATACTGGAAGCAACCGACTGTTTTAGTAGGTGGACCGAGGCTTACCCCCTAGGCACAGCAACCTCTAAAACAATAATCGAAACGCTAGAACGTGAGTTCTTCTCACGTTTCGGTTACCCGCACGTGTGTCTCAGTGATAACGGCCCCCAATTTGTGTCGAACGAAATGTTAAACGCGTTAGAACGTTGGGGAACACAGGGTTGGACAACTCCAATTTACCATCCGAGGGCCAACCCAGTCGAAMGCCGAAATCAGGATTTGAAAAAAGGTTTGCGCGCACAGCTCGTCGATGGTAACCACAAATCCTGGGACACAAAACTACCCGCAATTTTATTTTCGATACGGAACAGGTGTAACGAACAGACGGGCTTCCCACCTGCGGTCCTAGTTCTCGGCAGGGAATGCAAGAGACCCGGAGATTGGGCGCTATCAAGTTCAACACCGGACAGTATCGGAAAAACACAGGAAGAGAGGGTAGTGCGGGAGCAACARGTTCTAGGCAAAAAGTTAGGGGYACAACCGAGCGCGAACATCGGGACACCGGGAAAGTTCCGCAAGGGCGATGTAGTTTAMTACAAAGCACACCACCTATCAAAAGCACATTGTAATTTTCACGCCAGATTCRCACCGAAATGGTGGGGACCGGTAGGATTGGCGAAGCAAGTCGGAAAAGGAGTTTTCCTAACCGACCAACAAACACCGCGAAAAATACACGTGTCATACCTAAAACGCGCGCCCACAGAGCAAAGTTAAATAAGCAATGTTTCGACTAAACATCAGTTTCAKGCAACATGAGCAGCCAACAACAGACGGAGAAGTACGTACGTTTGGCCAGCCCCCCCCCTCCCCCCAAAGGAAAATCTATGAAAAAACTATACAGACATTTAGCACGTTATTCGCACGAATTCGCACGCCCAATTTGAAAATTCGCACGACCTTCCTTCCCTTCCAAAAACAAAAAATTCATGGGGGTACATACATTTATAAA